CCAACCCAAATCAAACCAACCCAACCTAAACCAAACCAACCCAACCCAAACCTAACCAACCCATCCCAACCCAAATCTAACCAAACCAACCCAACCCAAACCTAACCAAACCAACCCATCCCAACCCAAACCTAACCAAACCAAACCAACCCAACCCAAACCTAACCAAGCCAACCCAACCTAAACCAAACCAACCCAACCCAACCCTAACCAAACAACCCAACCCAAACCAAACAACCCAACCCATCCCAACCTGTGGGGGGAGGTCAGATGCGCAGGCACTTCCCCCCCTGAGGGCGATCAGTTGCCAGGCTGCACTAGCCCTGCTCCCTGCTGCTGGAGACAATGGACTACCTCTCTCTGAAGCTTGGGACCATTAGCTTGGTTCCTGTAGGAGGGATTTGCACTCTACTGATAATGGTTCCTATAGAGACCCAGAGACCACCCCCTCATTGCTGTGTACCCTATAGTGCAGCTTCTCCCTGTGACATATGTGTCTCTACCTGTAACTAGTGGGCTGGCTTGTCCCCAAAAGGTATATAGGTGTGAGTCAGCAATATAGAGCTCTCGGACCTCTCTGACTCTCTCTGGCTCCCCTCTCTTCCCCCTCTCCCTTGTTCCCTTGCCCTCCTTCCCTTCCCCCTCTCTCCACGTGGACCACCAAGCTGGGCTGAGGTGACCAATGCTACCATGTAATGTGTCTGACTGTATTATTGTAATGTCTCTCATGCTCTCGATGACTTTAATATAATACTTATATATCTCAACCGTACAATTGTAATTACAGAACCCAGAAGTAGTATTACTGAACCCGAGATTAGTGGTGGGGGCTGGCCCCCCACCTCCCGTGCCACTTTTAATTTAATACTACACCAACCCAAACCTAATCAAACCAACCCAAACCAAACCAAACCAACCTATCCCAACCCAAACCTAACCAAACCAACCCAACCCAACCCAAACCAAACCAAACCAAACCAACCCATCCCAACCCAAACCTAACCAAACCAACCCAACCCAACCCAAACCTAACCAAACCAATCCATCCCAACCCAAACCTAACCAAATCAAACCAACCCAACCTAACCAAACCAACCCAAATCAAACCAACCCAACCTAACCAACCAACCCAACCCTAACCAAGCCAAACCAAACTCACTGCCATCAAGTTGGTGTCGACTCATAGCGACGCTATAGGACAGGGTTGAACTGCCCCTGTGGGTTTCTGAGACTGGGACTGCTTATGGGAGTCTCTTCCTTGAACCACCTTGGGACACTTTAATTCCTTGAATGTCTCAAATTTCTTTATCTGTAAGATGGGAAAACCACCAGTTCCCATCTCAGGTTTCTGAACTTTAAGTGGTGAACAATGCCCAGTGCCTGGCATGACAGTATATTGTCAGCTGCCAAGGAGTCAGCTGTTCCTGACTCATGATGACCCCACACCCAACAGAACACAACACTGCCCCGTCCTGCGCCAGCGCCTTGACGGGTTGAGGCTCCGGCCATTGTGGTTTGCAGGGGCTTTGTTGGCTCCTTTGCAGTCCATCGCAGGTCTTTCTTTCTAATCTACCTTAGTCTGGAAACTGTATCAGAACACCACGCAAGCCTCCCGGGACAGATGGTGGCTGTACTCTATCAAGGTGCCTTGGCCAGGAGCTGAACATGGGTTTCCCCAGTGGAAGCTGAGGATGTGCCACTGAGCCACCAGTGCCCGAGTGGGGTACCAACAAATCATACCTCACTGCGATCGGGTCCATCTCAACTCAGAGACCCTATAGTGATGCTGTAGGACGGAATAGACTGCTGCTGAGGGGTTCCTAGGCTTTAAATCTTTGCAGGAGTAGAAAGCCTCATATTTCTTCCAAGGAGTGGCTAGTGGTTTTGAACGGCTGACCTTGTGGTTAGCTTCCCATCAGGGCTCCTTCACAGGTACACATGAGATGTTATAGAAATGTTGACTATTTGGCTGCATTTTGCAGAGCAGGTTCTGGCTCCAGGTAACCTGAGCTTAAATTCCAGTTCTGTCACTTGATGTCACTAAACTCTGTACCTCCATTCACATGACTTAGTTTCTTTTATTTAAAAACAAAACAAAACAAAAACCACCTGAATCCACCTCACTGCCATTGAGTCCATTCCAACTCAGAGGGAGCCTGTAGATGAGGGTACAGCTACTCCCCCCCCCCCACCCCCGTGGGTTTCCAAGACTGTGTCCGGGAATAGAAAGCCTCATCTTCCTCCAGTGGAGCCACTGGTGCTTTCAAACTGCTGACCATGGGGTTAGCATCCCAATGCATAACCACCCACGACGCCATTCAAGCCCCTGGTTCTTGTATTGCTTCTACTGAATTCACTGCTTCCCTACATCCTCTGCACCTCACCAGAGTCAGATCTACGAGGAAAACGATGTGTGTGTGTGTGTGTGTGTGTGTAAGCTCGCGCACGTTTGGGGTGCTGGGGGAATGGTGGAGGGAGTTTGGCGATTTTGAAGGGATGTGGGGGGATTCCTGCCTATAAATCTTCCATTGAGGCTGCTAGTAAGGATTGGTGCATGACGTGGACATGGGGGAGGGTTGGCAGAGGCCTGAAGTGGGAGGGGGGCCCCCCACCGAGAGGCAGAGGGTGCATCCCCTTTTCCGCAGCGGCCCGCCCCTTGGCCTCTGAGCTCATGGTGGGCGGATGAGTAATGCGTCCAGGAAGCCTGGACTCCTGTGGTTTCCGTACCACAGCCACCCCCGCCCCTCGAATGGACATTTATCCCCAGCGGCTCGAGCCCTGCCGCCATCGCCACAGACTCAGCGCCTCGAGAGACACCAGAGGTAGGCAGGGCCCTGGGTGGCCCAGCAGAGCCTGGAGCTGGGGTGGAACTTTCCTGCCAGCCAGCAGGCCTGTCCGCTCCAGTGCCTGGATTGCGGGCACCAGGGCTTCGGGCTGGAATCGGGAAAGGGAGGGAGGGGGGCTGGAACTGCTTCACCAAACTCGGCTCCTGAAACTCCCAAACCCCAGACATCTATACTGACTCCGGAAACCTGTGGACCCACTATTAACAACTCTTCCTAACCTGACAAATCTCCTAAATTCCCTGACAGTCTCCAGATTCCCCATCCCATCCCTCCTTATCCCTAAACTCCCCTGGTCCCCAAATCCCCAACCTCCTCCAAATTCCTTAACCTTCTTAAAACTTAGACTCCCTCAAACTTCCTAAATCACTCAAGGTTTATAGCCCCTCATCTCTCAATCTCCCCCCAAACATCTCCAGCTCTCTTAAACCCCCAAAATTGCATTCCAAACTTGTCAGCCCCCAACCCCTCTAAATCTTTAAGCTCTCATCCTTTACTTTCCAAACTCCCCAACCCCGCAACTCACCCAATCCCCTAAGACACCCCCACACCACATCTCTTTAAATGCTTGACCTCCCAAATCACCAGCCCCCTAAAAATCCACCAAACTCCTCAAGCCCAAACGAATACCTCAAATCTCCTTTCAGGCTACCTGGCAATAGGCTAGGGTGGGAGGCTGGCTCAAGGCAGCAGCAGGTCAGCCGTGCCGGGACCACCTGACACTCTGCTTTGATTCCTGACTCCCGCAGAACCCAACATGGCCCTCTCCTCGCCCCTGGTTTCTGGCATGCTGTTGCTGCTGTGCCTGATTGCTGCCAGCAGAGCCTGTACCTGTGCAGCACCGCACCCACAGATGGTCTTCTGCAGTTCTGACTTCGGTGAGTCTGCACTCCACCCTACCCACATACTTTGAGCTCTCTCTCAGGCCAGTGGGTTCACAGTGGTGCCTGCTTCTAGAGCATTTCTGCCTGATTTTGCACTTATGCCTCTGCGCTGGCCTCCTCACACATTCTTCATTTCATCAGACCTGATCCCATCTCAGGAGCCCTGGCTGGCGGAGGTGGGGGTGGGGGGAGCAGGGGGTTGTGATCTGCAAGACCTGCTATTCTAAACCACCACCAGCCACTCCTTGGGAGAAAAACAAGGCTTTCTACTCCTGTAAAGAGTTACCGTCTAGGAAACTCAGAGGGGCAGTTCTACCCTGTCCTATAAGGGTCCCTATGAACTGGTATTGACTCAATGGTAGTGAATGAGATCTCATCTGGCCCTCTCTCCGCCTGGTGTCCACATGGGTGAGGGTATGTCCCTCAAATATTCCCTCAGGGGGGCCTTCCCTGACAATCTTGTTTAAAATTGAACCCTTGGCCCCTAGGACTCTCAATCCCTCTATCCTAACGATCATTCTCAATCAGACTTCATACTTTCCTACATCCCATATGCTTAGTTACAAGCATTTTGCTTTTTTCTAGCATGTCTCCCCCTGGCTAGCATATGAGTTCCACAAGGGAATTCACGTAGCGTATGTTGAGGGGAGGGAAAAAAAGCTATTGAATGAGTACAGGACTGCACAGAGCAAGTAATGCCTGGCACACAGTTGTTAGTTGCATTCAAGTTGATTCCAAATGACAACGGGAACTGCTCGGTAGGGTTTCCTTGGCTGCCATCTCAACAGAAGCAGAGTGGTAGGACTTGTCCTCCATGCTACCCAGGGGGAGCTTTAGACCACCAACCTTTAGGCCAGCAGTCAAGCCAAACCATTGGCGCCATCTAGGGACCTTCTGGTGCAGAGTTGGTGTTCCAAAATGTTTGGCGAGTAAATTACAAATGAAGATAGGTAAACGTCTTTGAGCCGTACACAGTGTACAGTGAAGCTAGTGAGAGACTATGTGAATCGCTTATTGTGCTGTCTGGTATGCAGTAACCACTCCTGAAGTACATGAGCTTTTAAAAAGACTATTGTGCTAGTTTTATTTGTATTCACCCTTGCAGCCCATTTGACTCCTTTCTTTCCCTGCCCTACTGCAGTCATCAGAGCCAAGTTCATGGGGGCCCCAGAAGTCAACGAGACCATGTTATACCAGCGTTACGAGATCAAGATGACCAAGGTATCCTATCTGTCCCTTCCCCAGCAGGTCTGAACATTTTCCTCCCCATCAAAATAGAAGATGCTGGTGGCAAGTTGGCAAGGAAGTTGGTTGTGGTCTCAGGATACTATGTGACTACTGAGGGAAAGGCTTTTATCAGTAAAGCAAGAGATTCTTCCTCTCATCTATTAACAGATGTTCAAAGGGTTCGACATCTTGGGGGATGCCTCTGATATCCGCTTCCTTCACACCCCTATCATGGAGAGCATCTGTGGATACATTCACAAGTCCCAGAACCGGAGTGAGGAGTTTCTCATCACTGGTGAGACCACACCCCTACACCCGGTAACATCCAACTTGGCTCCCAAACGATCTAGTAACCATGGGGCATTCGGGGATTCCAAGGGAATGGTCCTAGTTGAAATGAGATGGGTATTGCTTGAATTTCAGCCTATCAAAGGGCTGGAGCTTTCCCCAATGGGATCTTTGCTCCAGGACTGTCAATTATGCGTCACCTTGCCCCTGGCCCAGCTAATCACAACCTGCCTGTTGGCTTCCCTGTCTTCCTAGGAACTCTTCAAAACGGGCACCTGCACATCACCATGTGCAGCTTTATAGTTCCCTGGAACAGGCTGAGTGCTGCTCAGCGCCGAGGCTTCACCAAGGTCTATGCTGGTGGCTGTGAGAAATGCACAGTAAGTGGCTGGGCCCGACGTTTCTCCTGGACACTGGTGCCCTGGGCTTTTCCTACTCCTTCTGGCTAGTCCTGGTCCCTTGTCCCTATGGTTGCTCTGTTGGGCTCTGTTGGGCTGTCCCTGACCTCTCTTCCTATTGCTCCCAAACCTGACACTCTCTCCTTGGAAATTCTGATTGTTCCCTTGGTATTCACTTCTTCCTGGGCCTTCTGACCATTCTTTGTCCATCTGGTCACCTCTCCCTGGTGACTATTCTCTAGTCCCTCTGTGCGTTCTCAACTCCTTAGGATTGTTTCTCAGTTCCATGGAATGTTCGCCAAGAACCCACAGTGCTGTTCCCTAAACCCACTGACTTCTCCAGCACCCCTGAGAGTTGGTCTGTAGCTCTGACTGTTCCTTGACAGCCCCTGTTGCCCTCTGACCCCAACACTAGTCCTGAGGCCTCATTGGCTATGCCTATGCTTAAACATCCCACCCACCAATTTTTCCCTATTACTGCCCGCTGCTTCCCCAGGAAACCTGACTAACCGACCCCCAGCAACTGGTTCCCAACCATCATTCTTGAGAAATGAGCCCTTTCACTGGTTTACGGTTGCCCTGCCGAGCCCAATAACTGTCCCTTCAATGAGACAGGCTGGTCTTGAGTGTAGCTAGGTGGGGCAATACCAAGTGTTCCCAGCAAACTGATCTTGAAAGTTAAGGAGTTGAAAGTTCTGCTCCAGAGGGGGAGGTACAGGGCAGAGGGAAGCCCTCAGAGAGGTTCCTTTCCCTCGCCAGGTGTTTCCCTGTACCTCCGTGCCCTGCAAGCTGCAGAGTGACGATCACTGCCTGTGGACGGACCAGCTCCTCTTGGGCTCGGAGAGGGGCTTCCAGAGCCGCCACCTTGCCTGCCTGCCACAACAGCCAGGGCTGTGCACCTGGCAGTCCCTGAAGCCCCAGATGGCATGAACCTCGGCCCCCAACCGAAGCCTGAGCCTGCCCACTGGTCATCCTCTTTCCCACTCCCATCTCTCGGTCAGACAATGAAATAAAAGCTACCACCCAGCAGGCAGTGTCCTTGTGCAGTGTCTATGTACAAAACCTCTCTCGTCGATAAGCTGGTGGGAACATCCTGGGACCAATGGGGAGGGGGTGAGAGGTGCAGGATCGCATGCATCTTTTCACAGCATTGGACATATTGGTCCTGACGCTCAACGTTGACATCAGCATCGGTGATACGCGACATCGATGCTGGTAACAACCTGCATTGTCAACCATAACTTAGTAGTTATCTCATTTCTCTAGTCAGTACTTCCCAACATGTTCCTCTAACACACCAAAGTTGGGGCCATCCAGTCGGTTGTGACTCCTGGCTGGCCCATGGACTGCCGAGTAGACCCACCGTGCCCCGTGGGGAGCAAATAGTCATGTTTGTCTTCTGTTGCCATGCTGGGATGGCTTGAAGCTTTTGGTTATTAGCCAAAAGCCATTCACTCTATCAAGGGACCCTCCTATTTGCACAGGGTTCTCTGTGTTTAAATTCTTCTCCCTGATGCTGTATCACTACCTCATTGCCAACTTCCTCCATTCACAAAACTCCCTGGTGGTCAGAAGCAGTTGGTAAACCCCTCTCCTCCTCGCCTTGGGCCTTTTGATGTTGTCAAGTGAGGAGGCCCCGCCCAAATCTCTGCGTGTTCCTGTTCCCACCCTTGGGTTTTACACTGCCAGTCTGATTTGAGCAGACTCGGTAAGTTCCAGGCGACCAAAAGTTCCCTCTATAACGCAGCCAGGGACTCTGGAAAACGGGATGGCCCTGGCTCCCCACCTGTGTGACCTGTGGGATACTCCTTGGAAGTGATGACATTGGGAAGAGAAAAAGTGAGATAGAAAGAGGGTAGGATCTCAAAATTCCCAAGCTTTGCCATCTCCCTGCTCTCCTACCTCTTCTCTGACCAACTTTGAAGGGAATATTTACATCATTGAAATGCACAATGGGTTCAGAATCAGGGCCAACTACATAGGCCAGTCCAGACCCCATCCACCCCACACCTCCCCCTACACTGTTGTCCCTTCACTAAAACTGTGATACCTTGCCGGTTCATCTTTCCCCATAAAACGGGGATGGCAAACCCTCCAAATACTCTCTCAAGCCTTCCTACCTCCACATCTGGGCCCAGGCGTGAGGGCCCTCTACCTTCCTTGGTTCTTGCTCCCTGAACTCCAAAAGGCCCTGGACTCATGTGAGGTCCCTGGAGACAGGGGAACCAGAATTGCAAATGGGGACAAATATTTAATGGAATACCCAGGTGTCTTATTTACCTGTATCTGCTTGGTTAAAAAAAAGAAAGTGTTTTCTTTGGTGAAGAAAAGGACCCCAAACTCCTCCCTCCATTATACTGCCTATTGTTCCTACCGATAAGAACCCCAGGGCTCCCCCTAGGGCATTCTGGGTCATCCAGGGTGGCCCCTGCATTCTCTCCTAACCTGTACCAGAACCTTCTGTACTCCTGAGAGGTTCACCCAGAGCTCATGATATGCCCTGGATCTGGATGAGTGAATTTTGATCGCCTAGTGCTTATCTGAGCGATCAAAATCTAATCCACTCATCCAGATCCAGGACAAAATCCATTCATCCAGATCCACAACAATGTGCTTCAAGTCCTCCTCGCTTTCAATAAGCAAGGTTGTGTCATCTGCATAGCACAGGTTGTTAATAAGCCTTCCTCCAATCCTGATGCTGCACTCTTCTTCATATAATACAGCTTCTCTGATGATTTGCTCGGCTTACAGATCGAGTTAGTAGAGTGAGAGGATACGACCCTGGTGCACACTTTTCCTGATTTTAAACCATGCAGTCAGTATTCCCTTGTTATGTCCACTCAACTGCCTCCTGATCTATTTAAGAGTTTCGAGTGACTATAGTGAAGTGTTCTGGAATTTCCCTTCTTCCCAAGACTATCCATAGTTTGTTATGTTCCACACAGCTGAATGTCTTGCAAGGAAACGTTTTAACGTTTTTTTCTGGTTATTCTGTGCTTTCAGGCAAGATCCATCTGACATCTACATCCTCTGCCGAATGTGGCCTGAACCTCTGGCAGCTCTCTGTCAGTGGGCTGCTATAAACGTTGGAATGCTCTTCAGCAACGTTTTATTTGCATGTAATACCAATGACACGGTTCTATAATTTGTGTATTCTGGTGGATCACCGTTCTATGGAATGAGTATAAATACAAATCTTTTTCAATCAGTTGGTTAAGTAACTGTCTTCCAAATTTATTGGTATAGATGAGCCAGTGTTTCATCAGCTTGTTGGAACATTTCGATTGGTATTCCATCCATTCCTGGAGCCTTGTTTTTGGCCAATGCTTTCAGTGCAGCTTGAATTTCTTCCTTCAGTATCACTGGTTCTTGTTCATAGCTCCCTTCTAAAATGGTGGAATGTCAGCTACTTCTTTTTGGTACAGTGACTGTGTATTCTTTCCATCGTCTTTTGATCCTTCTTGCATCATCCAGTATCTTTCAATATTGCAACTTGAGGCTTGAATTTTTTTTTCTTGAATTCTTTCTGTTTAAGATATGTGGGGTGTGTTCTTTCTTTTTAGTTTTCTAACTCTGGGTCTTTGAACATTTCAGTTGAACACTTTACTTTGTCTTCTCGAGCTGCTCTTTGACATTTCTATTCAGTTATTTTAGTTCATCGTTTCTTCCATTTGCCTTAGCTACTCTATGATTAATAGCAAGTTTCAGAGTCTCTTTTGATATCCACTTTGGTCTTTTCTTCCTTTCCTCTCTTTTTAGTGACCTCTGCTTTTTTTATGTCTGATGTTCTGCATGTCATCCACAGCTCATCAAATCTTCTGCCATTCGTGTTCAATGCATCAAATCTGCTCTTGAGATGTGCTGGACACTTGGGTGGGACAGACTCAAGGTTGTAGTTTGGTGCTCGCGCCCCCGCCTCTAGCACTGGACCCAGACTTCTATCCTGACTCAAGGAACTGAAGGCTTCACTTTCCTTGAAAGTATACACCTCCCGAAGCTCACTGATCTCCTCGGAATCGTCCCACTCAAGCCTCTCAAAGCCCATCAACTTCTAACTGGGCTGGGGTTCTGGTCATGTTCTGTTTCTGAAATTGGATGTAGGTAATAGGAGCGTGTTCACTGTGTGATAATGCAATAAACTGTACATTAACGATAAGTCCTTTGTTTAAACTTATAAAATAAAATTGCTCTTCCCCCCATCACCAAATAGAGCCCTCCCAGTCAATTGACATCGCTCTCCTGCGCCTTCCTTCAGTTCCTTCCCACTCCTGTCCTACTTCTCATATAATCCCTACATTTCCAAATACTTTGATTCTTACACCAAAGCACCACCTCTTTGACTCACTTCATGGGAACCATTGATCCTGGGCTCAAAGACAGGACTAGATCCAGCAAGACTTTGGGGTCATATTCCATCTATTACATATTTGCTGCAACATGAATCACCTGGTGAGAGTGGCAAAGGAGGGGAATTCCCCAGTGCCACAGCAACACCCCCCCCTCCCCAACCCGTAAGTGTGCAAGGCCAGGTTAAATAATGTGCTGGAGGGGCTGGCTGGAGAGAAGCACGGGAGCTGACCTTATAGAATCCTTAGTGTGTTTATGATCAATTGTAACTATAAAAGATGATGGGCTAACTATAGTTGTAAAGTATTTGAATGCTATATTTTTCAGAGTTTAAGAATACTAACAATAAACTTGTTTGTAAAATATTTCTACATTAAATTGTAATACTATTGGTTATTAGTTATTAGTAACTGAGCAGAAGCCCTTTAAATTTTTTCTTCTTTTCCATTAATTACTACATTATTCTCAAAAGAGTTATTGGTATTGGCTCACAAATATTAATTACCACAACCTTGTTGAAAAAACACCAGAAAATTGGACAAAAATCAGTGATTATAAAAACACTGGCAGCAACTAAAACAACAGTGTGTTCTTATAGGTATGCAGATAAAACCGCACAGTTTAAAGCATCATCAAAATTGAGTAATAATGCTAGTTCTGACCAGAATGCATTAGAGATTAAAAAAATAATTTAGCAGAGAGCTTAGCCTTACAGAGATATTGACACATGTAAGCAGGGCTTAAAAAAAAACAAAACCCAAACGTTTTTGTTGTTACAACTACCGTGTTTTCCCAAAAGTAAGACATCCCCCGAAAATAAGACCTACTTACAGTTTTGCCTTTCGCTGAAATATAAGGCATCCCCTGAAAATAAGACCTTCCCGAACATAAGGCTTCCCTGATAACGCCCCTAGAAGCTACCATAACTCTGGACTCTGGACCGTAGCGGTGGGCGCTGCTGCGCAGCTCACTATTAGCCGCAGCGCAGCCGGAGCAGACAGGAAGTGCGAGTAAATGTGCCATAGATTGTTGTACACGGAAATAATGGTAGTAACAAGAAATTCTTGATGCTGTAGGATTCTGTTTGGCTAGTTATGCTGGTTTGTGATGACAACTACTACTGTACCGTATACAGGTAATACATTTCCGGTTTTTTCAACAATAAATGTGCACCGTATTCTTCTTCATGGAAAAATAAGATATCCCCTGAAAATAAGACCTAGCGCATCTTTGGGAGCAAAAATTAATATAAGACATTGTCTTATTTTCAGGGAAACAGGGTAACTATAGAAGTGTTTCTCGACCTTCCTAAACTTTCATATAGTTCCTCATGTGGTGGGGACCCACCAACCATACAATGATTTTCGTTGCTACTTCTTCACTGTCATTTTGCTACTGTTATGAATTGGGCGACCCTGTGAAAGGGTCATTTGACCCCCCAAAGGGGTCACGACCCACAAGTTGAGAACTGCAGCTCTAGTTCTTTAAAGCTTCCTCCCCCCAAGTAACATGACCCCAGTTCTGTCTTACAAATCTGGCTAGACCTTTTGTGATGTATTGTAAACTCTAACCTCTACACTGCTATAGATAAGAGCTCTCAACACACAGAATCCAGGACAGATAACCCCCTCAGGATCAATAGTGAGAGTAGTGATACCATGAGGGTAGGGGGGAGAAGGGGG